CTCAACAGAAAGAGAGGCTCGTCTCTCCGAAAAGGGCAGTCACCATCCCGCTCACACAGGAGCTCCAACCAGCAGGCTGAATCCTCTCACAATCCTGCAGGGATAATCACAAGGGAGGAGTTCGACCAGCTGAGGGGGGAGCTCGATGCTCAGGTGGAGGCCTTAAARGCCAAATGTGAGCAGAAAGACGATTCACTGAACGATGGCGACTTGGGAGAACCGCCTTTCACCTCGGACGTTTTGGAAGCACCAATCCCTCCGAAGTTCAAAGCTCCTACCGTGAAGCCTTATGATGGGACGAAGGACCCCAAGGACTATGTTGAGGTCTTTGAAGGCCTCATGGACTTCCAAGCGGCATCAGACGCAATCAAGTGTCGCGCCTTTCAGATCGCGCTTACTGGCAGCGCGCGATTGTGGTATCGGAGACTGCCAGCCAGGTCGATCTCGACCTACTCTCAGCTGAGAAGGGAGTTCCTCGCCTAGTTCTCTTCTCGGCACTATGACAAAAAGACAGCGACCCATCTCGCCACCATCAGGCAGAAGGAGAGTGAGACGCTGCGAGAATATGTCACCAGATTCCAGGAGGAGCAGTTGAAAGTTGCACACTGCTCCGATGACTCGGCCATGTGCTATTTCTTCACCGGTCTAGCCGACGAAGCCCTCACGGTGAAACTTGGAGAGGAGGCCCCGACCACCTTCGCCGAGGTGCTTCAGAAGGCGAARAAAGTCATCGATGGACAGGAGCTCCTCCGAACCAAAACCGGCCGACCGGAGCGAAAGATCGGCCGGGGCAGAAGTGGAAAAGATGTAGAAAGGGCAGATCCCAAGTCYAAGGACAAGGGATCCTTTTCCAGCGGCCGAGCTGAGTATCGAAGGGCGGAGAACGGACCTACCAGCGGCCGACCTTACGAGCGCTTCACCCCGACCACGATTCCAATTTCCDAGATCCTAACGAACATCGAGGAGTCTGGAATGGAAAAACTACTCAAGCGTACTGAGAAACTTCGGGGAGCCCCGGAGAGGCGCARCAAGGACAAGTATTGCCGCTTCCATCGGGAGCACGGCCACAACACGTCGAACTGCTGGGAGTTGAAGCGCCAAATTGAGGATCTAATTCAAGACGGCTACTTCAAGAAGTTTGTGGGAAATCCCAGGACCAGCTCAGCAGAGAAAAAGGAAGAGCGAAAGCGTTCAAGGACGCCACCCCGACGCACCGACCGACCTGCGGTCATCAATACCATTTTTGGAGGGCCAAGCGGGGGTCAGTCCGAACATAAAAGAAAGAAGTTAGCCCGTGCAGCCAGGCGCGAGGTGTGCATCATCAGGGAGCAGGGGCCGACCTGCCCAATCACCTTCGACGATGCAGACTTGGAGGAGGTCCACCTGCCCCACAATGATGCACTTGTGATTGCTCCCTTGATTGATCATGTGGTGGTCAGGAGAGTGCTGGTAGACGGGGGCGCATCTGCTAACATCCTGTCCTTACCGACCTACCTCGCCTTGGGATGGACGAGGTCGCAATTGAAGA